TGACTGGAATGCCCTAACATGTGAAACCCCTTTATATCACAGCAATACAACATGATTGCCACATACTTGCCACGTCCAGCAACATCACTGCTACATATTTACACATAATATTTTATCACATTTGTTTTCCTTCGGAATCATCCTTTTGAACTCTACATATTAATTTTCCATGCTTGCTTTATCCATCTATAAAGGACAGCAGCTAATAATGTGGGGCAACAACATTAATCATAAAATCAACATTTATCTTCAATAGGGGCTTAATTGTTTGTCTTCAAAAGTTATATAAAACTTGATAAACAGTAATAATAAAATTTCAATCTGGGGAATTCCCTGAATAATCGATGACATCATTGGGAAACACCCAGCTTATTTAACTTCCGTCACAAAGAAGATCAGCTAAGATTTGTGTCGTAAGATAATGTTGCAATAGGTTTAAGACAGCTTCAAGAATAGCTCTTATTGCTCTTAAGCTCTTATTGCAGTCATAATTTTTGTCACTGTGTTTCAAGTGTTGTGTGTGACCACTCTATTTCAAGTGTTGTGTGTGACCACTATGTTTCAAGTGTTGTGTGTGACCACTCTATTTCAAGTGTTGTGTGTGACCACTGTATTTCAAGTGTTGTGTGTGACCACTCTATTTCAAGTGTTGTGTGTGATCACTGTGTTTCAAGTGTTGTGTGTGACCACTGTGTTTCAAGTGTTGTGTGTGACCACTGTGTTTCAAGTGTTGTGTGTGACCACTATGTTTCAAGTGTTGTGTGTGATCACTGTGTTTCAAGTGTTGTGTGTGACCACTATGTTTCAAGTGTTGTGTGTGACCACTCTATTTCAAGTGTTGTGTGTGACCACTCTATTTCAAGTGTTGTGTGTGACCACTCTATTTCACGTGTTGTGTGTGACCACTCTATTTCACGTGTTGTGTGTGACCACTCTATTTCACGTGTTGTGTGTGACCACTCTATTTCAAGTGTTGTGTGTGACCACTGTATTTCACGTGTTGTGTGTGAATGCTTTATATCAAGTGCTGTGTGTGATCACTATGTTTCAAGTGTTGTGTGTGACCACTGTATTTCAAGTGTTGTGTGTGACCACTCTATTTCACGTGTTGTGTGTGACCACTATGTTTCAAGTGTTGTGTGTGATCACTGTGTTTCAAGTGTTGTGTGTGACCACTATGTTTCAAGTGCTGTGTGTGATCACTATGTTTCAAGTGTTGTGTGTGACCACTATGTTTCAAGTGTTGTGTGTGACCACTATGTTTCAAGTGTTGTGTGTGATCACTGTGTTTCAAGTGCTGTGTGTGATCACTATGTTTCAAGTGTTGTGTGTGATCACTGTGTTTCAAGTGTTGTGTGTGATCACTATGTTTCAAGTGCTGTGTGTGATCACTATGTTTCAAGTGTTGTGTGTGACCACTATGTTTCAAGTGCTGTGTGTGACCACTATGTTTCAAGTGTTGTGTGTGACCACTGTGTTTCAAGTGTTGTGTGTGACCACTCTATTTCAAGTGTTGTGTGTGACCACTGTGTTTCAAGTGTTGTGTGTGACCACTGTATTTCAAGTGTTGTGTGTGACCACTGTATTTCAAGTGTTGTGTGTGACCACTCTATTTCAAGTGTTGTGTGTGACCACTATGTTTCAAGTGTTGTGTGTGACCACTGTGTTTCAAGTGTTGTGTGTGACCACTGTATTTCAAGTGTTGTGTGTGACCACTCTATTTCAAGTGTTGTGTGTGACCACTCTATTTCAAGTGTTGTGTGTGACCACTGTATTTCACGTGTTGTGTGTGAATGCTTTATATCAAGTGCTGTGTGTGATCACTATGTTTCAAGTGTTGTGTGTGACCACTGTATTTCAAGTGTTGTGTGTGACCACTATGTTTCAAGTGTTGTGTGTGATCACTATGTTTCAAGTGTTGTGTGTGACCACTGTGTTTCAAGTGTTGTGTGTGACCACTCTATTTCAAGTGTTGTGTGTGACCACTCTATTTCAAGTGTTGTGTGTGACCACTGTATTTCACGTGTTGTGTGTGAATGCTTTATATCAAGTGCTGTGTGTGATCACTATGTTTCAAGTGTTGTGTGTGACCACTGTATTTCAAGTGTTGTGTGTGACCACTATGTTTCAAGTGTTGTGTGTGACCACTATGTTTCAAGTGCTGTGTGTGATCACTGTGTTTCACGTGTTGTGTGTGACCACTGTATTTCAAGTGTTGTGTGTGACCACTATGTTTCAAGTGTTGTGTGTGACCACTATGTTTCAAGTGCTGTGTGTGATCACTGTGTTTCAAGTGTTGTGTGTGACCACTATGTTTCAAGTGCTGTGTGTGATCACTGTGTTTCACGTGTTGTGTGTGACCACTGTATTTCAAGTGTTGTGTGTGACCACTGTATTTCACGTGTTGTGTGTGACCACTATGTTTCAAGTGTTGTGTGTGACCACTATGTTTCAAGTGTTGTGTGTGATCACTGTGTTTCAAGTGTTGTGTGTGACCACTATGTTTCAAGTGCTGTGTGTGATCACTGTGTTTCACGTGTTGTGTGTGACCACTGTATTTCAAGTGTTGTGTGTGACCACTGTATTTCACGTGTTGTGTGTGACCACTATGTTTCAAGTGTTGTGTGTGACCACTATGTTTCAAGTGTTGTGTGTGATCACTGTGTTTCAAGTGTTGTGTGTGACCACTGTGTTTCAAGTGTTGTGTGTGATCACTATGTTTCAAGTGTTGTGTGTGACCACTATGTTTCAAGTGTTGTGTGTGACCACTGTGTTTCAAGTGTTGTGTGTGACCACTGTGTTTCAAGTGTTGTGTGTGACCACTCTATTTCACGTGTTGTGTGTGAATGCTTTATATCAAGTGCTGTGTGTGATCACTATGTTTCAAGTGTTGTGTGTGACCACTCTATTTCAAGTGTTGTGTGTGACCACTCTATTTCAAGTGTTGTGTGTGACCACTGTATTTCACGTGTTGTGTGTGAATGCTTTATATCAAGTGCTGTGTGTGATCACTATGTTTCAAGTGTTGTGTGTGACCACTGTATTTCAAGTGTTGTGTGTGATCACTGTGTTTCAAGTGTTGTGTGTGACAACTGTATTTCACGTGTTGTGTGTGACCACTGTATTTCACGTGTTGTGTGTGAATGCTTTATATCAAGTGTTGTGTGTGACCACTATGTTTCAAGTGTTGTGTGTGACCACTATGTTTCAAGTGTTGTGTGTGATCACTATGTTTCAAGTGTTGTGTGTGACAACTGTATTTCACGTGTTGTGTGTGACCACTGTATTTCACGTGTTGTGTGTGAATGCTTTATATCAAGTGCTGTGTGTGACCACTATGTTTCAAGTGTTGTGTGTGACCACTATGTTTCAAGTGTTGTGTGTGATCACTCTATTTCACGTGTTGTGTGTGAATGCTTTATATCAAGTGCTGTGTGTGACCACTATGTTTCAAGTGTTGTGTGTGACCACTATGTTTCAAGTGTTGTGTGTGACCACTCTATTTCAAGTGTTGTGTGTGACCACTCTATTTCAAGTGTTGTGTGTGACCACTGTATTTCACGTGTTGTGTGTGAATGCTTTATATCAAGTGCTGTGTGTGACCACTATGTTTCAAGTGTTGTGTGTGACCACTATGTTTCAAGTGTTGTGTGTGATCACTATGTTTCAAGTGTTGTGTGTGATCACTATGTTTCAAGTGTTGTGTGTGAATGCTTTATATCAAGTGCTGTGTGTGACCACTATGTTTCAAGTGTTGTGTGTGACCACTGTGTTTCAAGTGTTGTGTGTGACCACTGTATTTCACGTGTTGTGTGTGAATGCTTTATATCAAGTGCTGTGTGTGACCACTATGTTTCAAGTGTTGTGTGTGACCACTATGTTTCAAGTGTTGTGTGTGACCACTGTATTTCACGTGTTGTGTGTGAATGCTTTATATCAAGTGCTGTGTGTGACCACTATGTTTCAAGTGTTGTGTGTGACCACTATGTTTCAAGTGTTGTGTGTGATCACTATGTTTCAAGTGTTGTGTGTGACCACTGTGTTTCAAGTGTTGTGTGTGACCACTGTATTTCACGTGTTGTGTGTGAATGCTTTATATCAAGTGCTGTGTGTGACCACTATGTTTCAAGTGCTGTGTGTGACCACTATGTTTCAAGTGTTGTGTGTGACCACTGTGTTTCAAGTGTTGTGTGTGACCACTATGTTTCAAGTGTTGTGTGTGACCACTGTATTTCACGTGTTGTGTGTGAATGCTTTATATCAAGTGCTGTGTGTGACCACTATGTTTCAAGTGTTGTGTGTGACCACTATGTTTCAAGTGTTGTGTGTGATCACTATGTTTCAAGTGTTGTGTGTGACCACTGTGTTTCAAGTGTTGTGTGTGACCACTGTATTTCACGTGTTGTGTGTGAATGCTTTATATCAAGTGCTGTGTGTGACCACTATGTTTCAAGTGCTGTGTGTGATCACTTTGTTTCAAGTGTTGTGTGTGACCACTGTGTTTCAAGTGTTGTGTGTGACCACTGTGTTTCAAGTGTTGTGTGTGACCACTGTGTTTCAAGTGTTGTGTGTGACCACTCTATTTCACGTGTTGTGTGTGAATGCTTTATATCAAGTGCTGTGTGTGATCACTATGTTTCAAGTGTTGTGTGTGACCACTGTATTTCAAGTGTTGTGTGTGATCACTGTGTTTCAAGTGTTGTGTGTGACCACTATGTTTCAAGTGTTGTGTGTGACCACTCTATTTCAAGTGTTGTGTGTGACCACTGTATTTCACGTGTTGTGTGTGAATGCTTTATATCAAGTGCTGTGTGTGATCACTGTGTTTCAAGTGCTGTGTGACTGCTTTGTCAAGCCTGGTGATGTAAGTCTGCTGTGCGTTGGCTGTTGTATGATGAGTGTAACTGATGTCAAGCTGCTTTAACTTAATTCTGCTGTTTCATCTAAGTGATGTTGTGAGCCAAGTGTTGTGTCAACATTATTTACTGTCAGTAACTCACTTGTGTTGTCTTGTTTTGACTTTTGTTCTTCCTCCAGGACCTTCTGCCTCCACTCAGTGTATGACTGAAAGTCCTGTTGATGATCAGTGGCTACTTTGTCCCTGATGTCAACCTTGCTGCCCCCACTCAAATCTCTAGTGTCCACACTAAGTTCAGGCTCGGACAGTGATACAGTAGAACTGTCTTCTGATGCAGGCAGTGCTTCATCTTTGCTTTTATCTCCAAGTGTCTCATTAGTTGTCACTGATGAGTGGTGGTCACTGTGCTGCTTTTGTTGAACATCATCACTACTTGATGATTCAGTCTGACTAGCCAATTTTTCCTTCTCAGACGAGGACTCTGTGGGCTCAACATTGCTTTTAATGGCATCTGTTTTAAGATGATCTTGACCATTCTGTTTGTGAGCTCCCCCTTGGTCACTGGGGTCATGCACCTTATCACTGGCTACTGCTGCACTACTGCTGTCCACTGCACCTACTGCCACAACGCTGGCCTCCACCTGCTGGTGTGAACTGTCAGCAGTAATCACCACACTTGGTTGCGCAAGCACACTAGTTGACTCAGGTTTATTCATGCTGCAAATACATGACATTGTAGTTTCAATAAAATCACAAAATAAGGTGCTTTGTTTTCAAAATTAGTTTTGGCTTTTGTTAAATATAAATAAACCACTAAAAAGTGAACATTGGAAAAATAAACATCTGAAGAACAAAATGTCCTTACTCCATGTACTCCGCCGAATGCAAACTGTCCTGTTCATGACAAGAGGAAATGTAAACACCACAGGCTAAGAGCAATAGTACGACAGTTAACATTTTAAAGAGTGTCAAATGTGGGTTTTTTTACTACGGTTTTTACCACCTCCGAGCCAGAATCTGTAGACAAAAACAAATCTAGAGCCACTAGGTTCTGTAGCTCACCTGCAGTAGGAAGAAATCATTTATTGATACATCAACATTTGGTGGTGACAAATGAGTCGTCAAAAATGTATCATATGCTTTTCGACATATTAATTACTTACTGCTTATCAAATTATCCTAAAGATACAACAGAAATGTCTGTGCCACCATGGAGGCCATGTTTAAATCACCATTTAGAGAAAATATAGCTGGGATTATTCATACAAAGTCTAAGATCTTTAGACTACAGAGGAGATGTCAAAAATATATAACTTAAGGCGGATAGACGGACACTAAACAATGCACCATGACATGACACACTTTCAGTGAGGTGAACTAAAACAAGTCTGGCCTTATGAACATATGGACCTTGGGAGCAAGTGAGTAACATTAGTCTTGTGGCCTCTGTGGCCAATCAGTACCTACACTGATGTCAGCAGTGTGCAACAGCAGGGGACCAACAGGTGATGTATAAGTGTGTTTTTTTTTTTTATCCAGACAAGTTAGCACAGCTGGCTTCTATACCTGTGATGGAGGTAATACCAAGCAGTGCATGATCTGTTACAAGGTAAAGCAACAATTTATTTTACTTTTATAAATATAGCTTGGTAATGGTGGCCAACCATTTGTGCTAAATATGGGGTGGGGTGGGGATTAAGATGCTTTAGTACACATAAACTGTTCCTCAAAACATTTTTTAAGATAATTATAATAAAAACAATACAGCACAATCATGACAATAGGATATCTTCATTCTTCAAACTGGTATTAAACACTACTTAAAAAAGGTTAACCTGTTACCACATTCTCCATAATCCTTCTTTCATCTCAACGCTTGATGAAGACTACTATAAGCCCTCAGTACTTCCTTCTTCATTCTAGAACATGCTATAGGATCTGACCATGGGGCAGGATGGGCGGTAACAGGTAACAGGCTAAGTTTCTAATATTCCAAATATTAGATATAACAATTAATCTACTTTAGCCTCTTGTCACACACTGCATTATCCCACAGCTGTATGGAGGAGGCATGAAGAAGTCTCTTGGAACTGGAAGCACATCGGCCCAGTTCAAACAGTGGCAGTAAAGGTGGTGAGCGCTTAAACACAAATGTTGGTGTGACAACGTCCATATTTCATGAGGATCTTGAGCCTGTACAGGCAGAAGGGTGGCAGGTGCATGGGCTTCCAAGACAGTAGAACAGAGGCAAAAGAGAACAGCATTCTTGGATATTTCAGTGTGGAGTACCGAGAGAAACAGTCATTTCCTCTGAAGCTAAACTCCCTAGTAATCATGGAAATGACAAGGTAACGGTGCAGTGTCCTCACTGGGCACATGGCAAGATATTTAGTATGGAAGACTGCAGAGTAATATGGAATCCTCCTTTTCGCTGGCCTTGAAGTAGATTTTTGCCGATGAAATCCAAACATGAGTACTAAATGAGTGACACCATGCAGACCTCAACTAAAGGCCACCTGTATGACATCTAGAGCAAGGAACTCACTAACTCGGGCTAAGGTTGCCAAAGCCATGTGAAAGATGGTCTTCTGTCTTAGATGAATGAGGTCAGCAGTTTCAAAAGGGGTGACCAAAGCACTCTTACCGTCCGCATAGATCCATCTACTTGAGAACCCTAGGATTTGTAGCTGTCAAAGAGATGCTCCACTATCTGACGTAAGGTAGCTGCACATAGGAGCTGATGTAGCCTGCATCTCAGGTGCCGGAAGGAAGGAGGCTGCACATCGGCAATATTTCAGCCATATCGTGACGGCTGCATCCACAGAGATAGCACAGTCATGTAAGGTGATCATGTACTGGTGTATGAGCCACACTGTTGTAGGCGCCCCCTGTGAAGGAGGCTGCATCCACAGATATAGCACAGTCGTGTAAGGTGATCATGTACTAGTGTACGAGCCACACTGTTGTAGGTGCCCCCTGTGAAGGAGGCTGCATCCACAGAGATAGCACAGTCATGTAAGGTGATCATGTACTAGTGTAGGAGCCACACTGTTGTAGGCGCCCCCTGTGAAGGAGGCTGCATCCACAGATATAGCACAGTCGTGTAAGGTGATCATGTACTAGTGGCATCCACAGATATAGCACAGTCGTGTAAGGTGATCATGTACTAGTGGCATCCACAGAGATAGCACAGTTGTGTAAGGTGATCATGTACTAGTGGCATCCACAGAGATAGCACAGTCACGTAAGGTGATCATGTACTAGTGGCATCCACAGAGATAGCACAGTCGTGTAAGGTGATCATGTACTAGTGGCATCCACAGAGATAGCACAGTCATGTAGGTTCTACTACACCAAATCAGTACCAGTTTGGAGAGTGCGGTTTTCGTAGGGAGCCTTCAGTACAGATCGAGAGATATCTGCAGGCTGTGATTGGAAGATATTCTGTAAGATTTTTATGTCTTTCAAATGTACATCCATCCAGTTAGTAAAACTGACCATGTTTTTCTATATTTAGTACTGTCTTTTTCAACATGATGACTTATGCTGAATGTGACCACAGCTATTTTCAAGTAGGTGACATTTGGTGCGAAACTGGGGACGTTGTGTTTAGCTTCCGGTACTCGGAAAAGGAGCTGACTAAGGTAGACATTTTTTATTTTTTTATTGCTGCTCTAAGGCCAAACTGTGCACACACGTACAGGTAATAGCTGTTGAATGCTTAGTTATTTTACAAAAAAATATAACGTTACTATAGAAGTCTATGGGAAAACCTTTGGTTGTGTGTAACCTGTAAGGTGATCATGTACTAGTGTAGGAGCTACACTGTTGTAGGTGCCCCCTGTGAAGGAGGCTGCATCCACAGAGATAGCACAGTCGTGTTAGGTGATCATGTACTAGTGTAGGAGCTACACTGTTGTAGGTGCCCCCTGTGAAGGAGGATGCATCCACAGAGATAGCACAGTCGTGTAAGGTGATCATGTACTAGTGGCATCCACAGAGATAGCACAGTCGTGTAAGGTGATCATGTACTAGTGTAGGAGCTACACTGTTGTAGGCGCCCCTGTGAAGGAGGCTGCAGGGAGGACAGTCAAGCACCTGATTCAGGAAACACTTTATCGTATGATGAACATGGTTCAGATGCAGGAAGCTTCAATGTACTTGATAGCCATGCACAAGCATAGAATCCTCAGGTTCACAAGAGGACACAGGCTCATCCCGTACATCACAGTGCAATGGGGAGTACAATGACAACTCCTTGGTAGACTGGAGATGTCTAAGACAATCCCCATCATGTCTTCTAACGTCCGAAAAGCAAAGTCCATAGAGACAGATTTGGCAGGCCAAGCATCAATATTCTAGGTCACAAGGTTCTGGCAATTTAGGAAAGACATAACCTGTGTTGGTCTTGGGCAGATCGTCTCAATCCACACACCTCACAAAAACATCTCTTGGGATGATGAGGCTGTCTTAACCATAGAAACATCATAAACACCTTCAAAGGCACAAAAGCATGTGAAACGCTGATAATGAACACACACACTTCAGGAAAACGAGTTGGAAACGACGAAGAATCACTTCAATGCAACTCAACCCACTATTTAGAACAAACTGTGAAGGTGTACAACACAGCACAAACAAACAAAATGTTAAAAATATGATTCATAAAATAATAAAATATGTTGTATTAATATTAAGTATAAAGAATACCAAGAGAATTCAAAAAGAACCCAGACCACCAAAGTCATTGGAGAAAACTCCCTTGTTGAGTGAGGCTTCAGAACACATCCATTCAGCAGGGGGACAGAATGAAGATGGAAGTTCTGAGGGCGTAGTTGCTTCTGTCAAGCATGGAGATGAAAGCTTAGTACAGAATGTGCTGACACGCTAACTTAACAACTGGTATATTCTAAAATATAGAGGAGTTTTGTCCAAAGATTTATAATTTTTCTGAATGTTTTAAGTGTCCGCTAGATTTTAGGCAAGGCCATGAAGGGAGTCCTTTCCTATTGTCAATGTTTATCCATGGACTTGAACAAATAGCATCATCATGTGTTCCAGGTGTACAGCTACACCCTGATGTCATACAGGTACTTTTGTTATTTGCAGATAAAATTTGTCCTCTTTTCGGACACTGTCAATGGGCTGCCAAAACATACTGATGTCGTCAAATCTTTTTGGTTTAACTATCATTTGTCATATAATCTAGATAAGACTAAAATTGTGTTTATCAAGTTTCGAAAAATCATATACTATTTAAGCTTGAATGTGGGTCATCACAATCATTTCATATCTTGGATTATATTTTTCTGGAGCATTATCATGTTCCAAATGAATCGAAAACTCATCCATTCAGGCAGAAACAATTCTCTGTGGACAAATCATTACACGTGCTGTAACCTCTACCCAATGATCTGTGGCCTAATATATTTGATTCCCAAATTCCGTCCAGTTTGTTTTATGTCACTGAAGTATGGAGGATTAATAAAAATGAGGAAATAGAAGTTGCACAAAAGATTGCATGTAGGCGATTTTTATGTGAAGCAGTCATCATCAAATCATATTGTTATAGGAGAATGTGGAAGATATCCCATGTACATAATTGCATGCTATAAAGTACTGGTGTAAAATAATCACTATTCCAGCATCTTGTCTGGTCAAGAAATGTTACTATCTATTAATGTTAGATTGTGATAATCATCCAACATTAGTAAGACTAACTGGGTATCAAAAGTTAAATTGGGTTTAACGTCTCGTCCAACATTATTGCCCTTATATAGTGACTATTTGGATATGAATGGGAACAGCAATCTAAAAGCCACACTGCCTGCTTCTGGTCTGAATGCATACACTTTGTGTAAAATCTTCATATGAGAAAGGGGGGGCACAGGTGGCCCAGTCGTCTAAGGCGCCGTGATTCGCTGTGCAGAGTTGAGTCCCTTGGGCATGCCAGAAACCTATGATTGAGGGTTCGAATCCTGGTTCGCCCAGATTATGTTTCTAGGTTTATGTTTCTAGGTCAGCACCATGCCCGTGTTCGTGGGTTTCACCGAAGTGGTAAATGTCTGAGACCTGCATCACTTCGGGCTTTCCTCCCACATTAAGCTGACAGGCCGTGATATAACTGGAATACTGTTAAAGGGGCACTGATCTAACGCAATTCCCCGGACTGGTTGTTGCCTTTGTTATTGTTTTTTTCCCCGTGAGTACCCGGATGATACGCAACGCAACTGAGCGTGACCAGAGACTTGGCTACCGTCTGCAAAGACAGCTAAATAAACTTGGAGGCTGGAGGCAATATTTGTTTTACGCATTTTTGCATAAACACTGATTGGTTAACTGTGATCTATAAAGATTTCGACAAAGGGCGCAGGTTAATTAATTTATTCAGCCTAAACAAACAGACAAAAAGAACGCTCATCAGATGTCGTCATTTGGAAATACCCCAGATGGTTATAGTTTAATACTAAAAAAAGTATCTATGCAGTGAAAGCATTTTCGGATTTCGGATTGCGTTGATAATACGATTACTACTCCCTTGTTGTCATCCACGTTTTCTCGTATAACCCTACACTTGTGTATTTGTCGTCATTCACTTGATGCTCAGTTAATGAATTTATTACAGGTACAATTAGTGGTAGCACCACTTAGATTACCTGACAAAGGTTCCCATTTGGCATTTATTGTGTCTGGGGTAATTATTCAATCTAAATCCAGGTTTGAAGTGAGGTAAAATGTGTGTTATGTAATATGCACGTGGCAGACCAGCAAGAGGTGAATGATCAGTTGATTTCCTTTTTTTTGTAAATCAACGGATCGTTCCTAGTCATCAAAGGATTAACAGAAAATACGTTGATTGATTAATCACTGTTATCTTGCACAGTGGATATGTCAAAAGTGAGTGTTTACATGTCTAGGTTTACTAAAACAAAGGGAATACACTCATATCATGGCGTGAAGTGCCGATGTAAAAACAACTTACTTTGTTCAAAGGGTTAACTGATAATACATTGATTGATTGATCATTGTTATCTATCACTCAATGGATTTTTTAGGAACCGTGAACGTTATGAAAATAGTTGTCACGTGGGCTTTCTCAGCCGACCCTTGAGACTTGACACCTATGTGAAACACCTGAAACAATCCAAGTGATCAGTTGAGAAACGAACGCGGGTTATGATATCCCGAAACGATATATATCTTTCAAAATATTTGATTGTTACAGAGACACGTGACATCGAATAAGTTTCGTTGTACGGCTGCAGACGAGTGGGATATTGTTCCTTTGTGTGGATATTCACGGATACATTCCTCGAACAAGGAAGCTGCCTAAAATTTATACACATAAATTTGGTAGGTTGCAATTATGGTTTTGCATTTTGTTTTCCTTCATTTGAACCGATTCGTTCTTGTTTCTCTACGTCTTGGTTGGGAAATTCTTCAATGCGCGATAGATGTTGTTTTCACAGGTCTTTTCCTTTGTAAGTGTGTATATATTACCGTCAATTTGTAAAATGTGATTCTCTCAGGCAATTTATAAAATGTGTAAATATTTCAGTCATTTTGACTAAAAAATCTGTCCAGATTGATAAAGATGATCAAAAGGGCCTACAAACATCACAACAGATTATTATGTAGGATTAGAAGCCAAACAACATAGAAATGTACTTTTCAACGTAACATTTTCAGTCTCTTGGTGATGACATTAAACATCAAAATGTTTGGAATTCGTTATCATAATAATACATATGGAAATGTTTTTCAGTCACTTTGTAAAATAACTGAATATTTAGACGTTTAATAAATTTGAAAATGTTACACATTTTGACAGTAAAAAAATATACACACTATAAAAAAGCAATGCTCAGGTGAAATATTTACTTTGTGTTGCAAGTCAAAATAGTGTAAACGAAAATCGCAAAATTACAAAGCAAGTGACTTGCTATCAAAACTTCGTCACCATTACCGATGCTACCCACAAAGATACCTACATTACCTTATTATCTCGAAAACTGTATTTCATTTTGTTGATCAATGTGACCATACGCCCTTATTACTACCCATAAAAGTGACTGATGCGCTTACGAATTGCGCAGCAGACATCGCGAACTAGTCTAGATTTCTGCTATATATCCGGGTACTCACTGGGGAAAAACAATAACAAAGGCAACAACCAGTCCCGGGGAATTGCGTTAGATCAGTGCCCCTTTAAAAGCAGCGTTAAACTTAACTCACTCACTCACTGATATGAGAAAGATTGGCATTAACTCTTTATGGTACATTCAAAATTAATCATGTTAATATTTATTTAGAATCATATTTAAAAGAAATAACTAAATTCAAGTACAGGACTGCACTTGCCAAAACCTTAGCTACTGGTATCATGCTTATCTTCTACTTAAATTGTCTGGTCCCACTTTAAAGGGAAAAAAAGATGATTTGAAGACATTACTGAAAAACTACTGTCAGAATGATCAGTTCCTAAGTAAAGAGATATGTGAAGGAGGGTCTTTGCTGTATACCCATAATACCTGGCTGTAATATGCGGGGATGCACTTGGACTGTTGGCCTGTAGAGTGTCGGACTCTCCTTTCCCTGTCTGAACACCAGTGTTGAGCGACATGGAGCCATCAGTGCTCTCCCCTGCTTGTTGTGGTCTTACACTGCAATAAACAAGATGCATTATTATCCTTATCAGTATATGTCATATTTCTAATGCTACTTTATAAACATAAAAAATATATATAAAAGCATGAACCTTGGCACATTTGTAGGTAATGACATTCCAAATATTTTAAGACATGGGGCCACCCAAAATAATCCAAATGGCCACCAAGGAGGAATGAAATTCTCGTGTATCGTGTACACTTATCGTGTAAATATATTGTGCAAAATTATTAATTTGGAATAAATTTATCGAACACTACATCTGTAATATACATAACAATATTATAATAAACTATTTATCTTGATTTAGATATTCTAAAGTGTGAAAAAGTATGCATTTCTTTCTTTTTAGGCATATCTTTATGACATACTTCATTAAACATATACTCAAATGGTCAACAACAGAATATTTAAAGAACAACATTATTATTTATTGAAATAGGTTGTACATGGCTGATTTTTTTGTTAGCAAGTGAATATTTAATGCAATCACAGTCGCCACCACATTTGCAAGTGGTGTACTAATCAACTGTGCTACATGTATTTACACCTTACAACTACATCTCAGAGGCTCTTGGCAGGACTCAGAAGCCTGTGGTAGTCAACAAAAGGTCATAGCCATGTGCCACTGATCTTGTCCATCCCTACTCAGTTAGCATTGGTAGAAGCAAACGGGGAAAAGATGCCACGTTCAACCAAACAGCAAAATTCCTCACAAATGGTAGGCATTTCTGAGCATTGACGAGAACAAGACAAAACTGTTTAAGTTCTCAGCTGAACAAGTTACTTCATTAGAATGAGGAGAGAAACAAAGAATAAGCACTCATGGCAAACATGACAAAGGTTCAGATGTTGTCAATAATCTGCATCAATGTTCACATAAAGAAGCTGACACAAGACTCTTTTTGCACGAGTCAAATGGATATGTCTTACCTCTGAATAGCTTTTGGAACTGGCAAACAGTTCAGATATTTGGCTGTTCATGTCCGTATCAGACTCCTTGGACCAGTGAAAGCTTGGTCACTTAGTGGCTCTGACCAGACATGTTTCTTTTGGGGGGAAAAAGGAAAAAACAACAGCATGGGAAACACGAATGTGTATGATGAAGCGACAGAGGCTTTCAATCTCATTGATGGTGTACCAACCGAACAGGATGTCGAGAAGATGATTTTGTGGTCTCAATGTATGATCGGCCAGTATCTTTGCAGGAGTAGATAAGGCACGCAAAGACTTATTCACTAAGATAGGTATATCAATTGATTCCATTCCTCCTACATCAGCTGCTTCATACCCACATGTCAAAAGAGCTGTATTCCAAGCTGGTCACTATTGGGGATGAAGACTGGAGGACGAAACAGACCTTCTCACACAAACTAAATGGGGATGGGTAAGATCAGTAGCATATGGCTATGAGCCTTTGTGGACTACACTACCACAAGCTTCTCAGTCATGGCAAGAGCTTGAGCTGAGATGTAATTGTAAGTCTGAGAGGCAGTGCAGTGATGGTATACATTGTGTACTGATGGCACAGTGGTGGTGATCCCACGGCACCCTGTATACTTTGACATCTGCAGTACAACCTCCTCCTCCACATGAGGCCAAGCATAACATGACAAAGCTCTTCCATTACCTCTGAGAACTAGTATCCTGGCTCATAGCCACATGAAGGTTTTGAAAATCCACAGCAGGCCATCTTCCCGAAGCAAAAGTGTCTGATAGCCTATATCAAAACCAAGTTTCAAGTTTTCCAAGTAGTCACCATTAGAAAACGGCTCCACTTCCAGTCTTCCAAGATCAAACTCTCCCACACAGCCGCCCCATCCCACTTGGACTACCCGTCCGAAGGCTGTCTGGCCGAACCAAGTCTGTACTGGCAGTATACAGTATCCTGAGTGAGATGGAGTTCCCTGCATCAGATCTGCATCATCCAACCATGACAGATGCTCCCCTCAAATGTTGCCACCAGGTCAGGGGAACTCTCTCAGCCTGCTGGTGTTCCCCTGGTCAGACCTAATGTGTATCCTGAGTAAGGTGAATCCAAGTTCCCTGCATCAGATCCAAATCACCTGGCCATGATACTTGCACCCCCCACACATAGTCACCTACCCTTGGGGAGCCTTCCCACCATGCTGGACTTCCAGCAGATTAAGAGTGGTTCACCCAAGGCCTTGAAATACCCACACCTCCTATATGTTTATGGAGGAAAAAGCCATCTTGTTCAACACAACATGTTTACCACCTTAGAAACTGAAGCCTAAGGTAAACTAATCTTCATCCACCCCTCATTCAGCTCCATAAACCTTATACATGTTTCAGAGGACAGGTTCAAAATGCAATAACACCAGAAAAAACAAGCTCAGATAAAGGTAGTAAGGAGGTGGATAAAATTCCAAATATGCCCCCCTAAAATATGATGTATAAAGTTGTAATATTACATGCAGAATTCACAGTATGTTACCAGGACATATATGTGTAATAGTTTTGAAGAAGAGTTTTATTTCAGAGTCAAACCATGGATGGACAGGCATAATGGATGCAGACTCATGACATAGAGCACAATATAAAACAGTTATATCCTGTAAATAACAATGATGACCTACATACACAACATTCAGATCATAAATGTTAACTACTGCCCTGAAGGCAGCCATGGAAAGATTGTAAGAAGATATGTTTGACTCTACCAACCGTTCCATATGCCATACCTCACTAAGGATTATACTCAAATTTCAATCTGAAAACAAGCTTACCTGATCAGAGTAATTATCTTTGCACAGTCAATGGTGACTATCATGACGACAGACCTATTAGGAACAGTTGTCATGGCTGCAACAATACCAAGCCAACTATCATGGCTATCAGAATGCTTATCTCATCACTGATCACACACCCCTTCACCATCATCTGATATCACAACAAAGGCAATCAGAAGACAATCAGTGTTACCCTTGATACCCACATTCTGTTTCAAAATGACACCAATTCAAAGCCTAAACCTTTTGGGTACAAACAGAACTGAACATCTCAATGTACATCCTTCAAAATAATAGTTGCTTCAGTCCATCCAGCACGAGATGTTTGACCCGACAGTCAAACAGATGCTGGAGATGCTGCACCAGCACATGGTTACATCATGTCAGATGCTGGAGATGCTGCACCAGCACATGGTTACATCATGTCAGATGCTGGAGATGCTGCACCAGCACATGGTTACATCATGTCAGATGCTTGAGATGCTGCACCAGCACATGGTTACATCATGTCAGATGCTGGAGATGCTGCACCAGCACATGGTTACATCATGCCAGATGCTGGAGATGCTGCACCAGCACATGGTTACATCATGTCAGATGCTGGAGATGCTGCACCAGCACATGGTTACATCATGTCAGATGCTGGAGATGCTGCACCAGCACATGGTTACATCATGTCAGATGCTGGAGATGCTACACCAGCACATGGTTACATCATGTCAGATGCTGGAGATGCTACACCAGCACATGGTTACATCATGTCAGATGCTGGAGATGCTGCACCAGCACATGGTTACATCATGTCAGATGCTGGAGATGCTGCACCAGCACATGGTTACATCATGTCAGATGCTGGAGATGCTGCACCAGCACATAGTTACATCATGTCAGATGCTGGAGATGCTGCACCAGCACATAGTTACATCATGTCAGATGCTGGAGATGCTGCACCAGCACATAGTTACATCATGTCAGATGCTGGAGATGCTGCACCAGCAGATAGTTACATCATGTCAGATGCTGGAGATGCTGCACCAGCACATAGTTACATCATGTCAGACTAAGTATCCGGGCACCAAGTTTGCAGATGAGATAAAACAAGTATTTGTCACAGAGTGACGAAATATCCCCCGCCTGTACACCATACTACCAAATATGAAGACAATCCAGCGATTAGTTCTTGAGATATTGTGGCAACACCGTTTTCCAACTCCAAAAACAGATTTGCCTGCTGTGACCTTGAAAATGGGGTCAAGGTCACCAAATCTGACAGGTGTATGCGGTGTCTGTATATACACTATAGTTCCAAATATGAAGACAATCCAGCGATTAGTTCTTGAGATATCGCGGCAACACCGTTTTCTAACTCCAAAAGCAGATTTGCCTGCTGTGACCTTGACAATGGGGTCAAGGTCACCAAAACCGACTGGTGTCTGCGGTGTCTGTATATACACCATAGTTCCAAATATGAAGACAATCCAGTGTTTAGTTCTTGAGATATCGCGGCAACACCGTTTTCCAACTCCAAAAGCAGATTTGCCTGCTGTGACCTTTAGAATGGGATCAAGGTCACCAAAACCGACTGGTGTCTGCGGAGTCTGTATATACACCATAGTTCCAAATATGAAGACAATCCAGTGTTTAGTTCTTGAGATATCGCGGCAATAAACAGGTGGGACGTACGGACGGACGGACGGTCGTGAATACTATATCCCCCGCTTCGCGCTTTCGCGCGGCGGGGGATAATAATTGTACATGTAGAGGTTTGACATTATTGTTGGACTATTTTTTTAAGAACTTAGACATGTACATTGGTTCAAGTGAGCCATAATCAGTCATCAAACTAAGCAAGTATTCACCACATCCATTTCAAACAATTCATTCACAAGTTATCAAGTTAACATGCATCAAACATATCATTAGGAGACATTGGCTGTTTTCTATTTCTTAATGGTTTCTCCACATGCATGTAGAGCTACAAGAGATGTTACCAATAATTTAATTTGGTATTTGCTACCAATGAGAACTGTTAAGAATTTCCAGATCATCAGCATGACTGGTTGCTAACAATCGACAAGCCATGTAAATCAATTAGTGTCATACACAAGTGATAAAAAAATGTCTGTTCAAACTTGTCTAACTATGGTGCCTAGTGTTTCATGCTTGCACAAATTAAGCATCAAAGTGATTGGCCAAAATTGTTTTTGTCGATAAACATGATTGTTCATGCAGCAATTTAGTCAAATTGGATGTGCAGTTTGTATGTGTGGCCACACAATGGGATTCATTCTAAATATATATTACAAAGATATAGTATTGAAACATTGTTTCTGTTATCTTTTATTTCTCAAACCACATACCATGATATACTAACAGTATATTACTATCATAATTATTCATGCCAAAATGTCTAACAAGGAGTAAAATTGACATTCTCAACATGGCTCTCTGGTTGGTGCATGTTCTGTGACCTGGCTAGATAAGAGCCTGCCAAAGGTTGCAGTAGTGTCAAGAAGTTCACAATGTGATATAATCATGATAACAGACAACAGAAAGGGGAAAGTCGACTGTAGATGGATTTTGAGGAAAATATAAAACCTGTGAACTAGCCTGTTTAGATTCACCCAAGAGAGTGATTGGAATCTGCGAGTTTCCATGGCAAGTTTCAACATAAACTGACACCTAAAATTACAGTTAAATGAAATAATAAATTATTAACTCTAAATAATTAAATTTTCGTTGTGTTCTTTGAAATTCCTGCATTCTGATTAGCTGAATTGGTCACGTGTTACTGCATTCATTTCCCAATGAATGTAAAAAATTAAGCCACGCCCACTGAGGCGCACTACTTTTATTACTGCGGAATGATGGGGAATCCCAATGTTACAGTCGAGAGTATTCCCTTTCTGCGTATGTGTATCGTCATGCACAGGACATTTAGCGACTTTAATGCATATTCATTGTCCAAACTACCCTTTGAAACTGAAGGCGGAGAATGAATGAAACAGCAAACGTGCAGGCTCGATCGCTTGTTTTTTCCCCGCTTGCCTCAAATTTCATGTCTTCGGGTTTCATTTCTGACCAGCATATTTCCTACCGTGTTTTACCGTAATCAGGGAAGTAATGTTTGAATCTAGCGGTAACTGACCATGTTATTTGAAACAGCCGCCTTCTCCCGGAGATATTTCTTCCAGTTCGTTACAGTCTCACTGTTGCAGTTCTTTTCGCCTCTTGCCTTAACTGACAGGTCCAATGAACATTGTTTTGATCCTTCTCTCCGTTGATTGGCTACTTACTGTGTAGGCGTGTCAAGTCATGTGCATAAATTAAACGATCAACTGATTCATGTCACGCCACAGTATGTATTCCTACACCTGGAATGTTTATCAATCTCGTCATTTTTGTCTGTTTTGACATATACAACTGATTTTGGTTAAACTATTGTAGATAAACATGTTTCACGTTGTCGAATTTAATTATAAGCATTGACTGTGTATTTTTTTGGTTCACTGAGGTATGAATAGAAAAACCAATGTGCAAACATTTGGAAGAATACGCTATGCCGATTCATACAGTTTGCACATCCCTTTTTCGTTTCATACCTCAATGAACCGAAAAAAATACACAGTCAATCCTTAATTATATATAAACAATAAACTGGGTCAGAATCAAGGTGAGTGTTGGTTTTTCACTTCTGTTCCCCTCACTGGATACATGATTATCATGATTATGAACATTGATGTTTCGTGAACAGCTGAAACTTCCTGTGATTGGAGTATGAGCCAGAATAATGGCCATACCGTATTAAGTTTGGAGCTACAGAGAGTTGATAACACAAATAATGAATTACTTACCAAAGAATATATAACTGCCAACAGAACATGAGCATAAGTATAGAGACAGGCAGATTACAATCTACATGATGATACATCACTGTCGTTATCATCCTGGTTTCAGCATCATAAACCTTGTTGCTTCAGTGGAGATGAAAAATGGACAATGAGCCCTGACATATCCACACAAAATAGAATTGAATTATTACACAATACACAGGCAGAGACCATATACCGGTAGATGGTCTCTGACACAGGTAATACACATGTGATGAGATGGCTAACCCTATTGTTTTCCCCGTGTTATTTCAGAAATATTCCTTCACCTAATGTTCCAATAACTTTTTGGGGGAAACTATGAGCAAATGCACATATTTCTGTCCATGCATAAGGTTGAATTGATTTTTGTTTATAATGGGACAAGAGGGAGTCAAAACAGTGGAAATAGGTCTTTCCTGTTGATTTAATTCCCTTTAGTAATCAACATTGTCTACATTGTCCAAACAGCATGTGTCACATGATCATGCACATATATTCGTAATATGATCACATTGAGATGTTTTATTGTTGGATTTTTGTGTATGTGACATTAATTAGTAATGTGACATCCCCCATCACCATCCCCACCCCGAGTGTCTTTTGAAAAGTCACACTTGAGCAAGGTTGTTTTTTTTTTATATTACCTAACCAGTCAACTTTGATCATTATTTTAGGAAGAGACGTTACTTTTCTAATGAAAACGACCAATAGTGAAATGAGTCATTATCACATGCACGCTATAACTTGGGGTGGAGATCAATGGTCCTCTGTGATGACAGGTCGCTCGCCAGTCAGGATCAGAAACAGGTGCCTAACCTTGACGATGGGGCTGTTGATAGGAAGTAGGTACCTAACTAGAGCCACAATTGAATATTTTCTCCTTTATGTTCATTGAAGGATCAATGGGCTAAGGATAGAGGTGGGGTAACCTACCCTGTTGCCCCACCCTAACACAACAAACCCTAAGGATCCAAGACAGCATAAATATGTATTTTCCTATACAAAGTATTTTTTTCTTGAGACAAATGTCTAGTTATTATTATACTACTGGGTGGTGAATAGATTTTATAATCACAGCTAATATGAAAAAAAAATAAAACACCTGCCCTTGCTTCACCATGTTCACTAATTTGATAAGTATTCCGAGCCCACCTAACGTGTTGGTATCAAAAGCGTGTTTGAAATATTAGAGGACGTGTGTCAATGGTAATTGCAAGTTTTTTATAAGCTGTCACTACCTGACAAATAACGAATATAGCCAGACACAGGTGTTCAATCAATGAATCAGACATGAGGTCTTTCTGTCTGTTTACTGCGCCTGTGGTAAAATATGAAATGTAAATGTAAAATAAAGATTTACCTTTGAAAATATAAAACTGCCACGAGAATGTGAACACTAACACTAAATTTCCTCATTTTCCATCACATCATTGTCTGGAATACAGATAAACGACAAAACATGGTGATCTTCTCAACGTGTTCATAAGTAAACGAGGTCTTCCTGTCAAATACTGACGTGTATTTCAATCGTTTATCTACTCTTGATTCTTAATTCAGCCACCAGGTGATAGAGTGGCCTCCCTTAGTTATAGATCAGTCCATTCGTCACCACTCGCCCCTTTCCGTAACCTGTCCCGGAATAATACGAGTTGGTCACGAATGCGAAATCATTCGTCACAACTCGCCCCTTTCCGTAACCTGCTTGTCCCATAACACGAGTTGGTCAAGAATGGATTGGTTGGTGGGTCGGTTTGTTGTGTAACCGCACTCAGCAATATTCCAGCTATATGAAGGCGGTCTGTAAGTCTGGACCAGACAATCCAGTGATTAATATCATGAGCATCGATCCACGCATAAACCAAATCAGCGAGCCTGACCACCCGATCCCGATAGTCGCCTTTTACGACAGGCATAGTCGCCTTTTACCGCAAACATGGGTTGCTGAAGACCTATTCTACCCCGGAATATTCACGGGTCGGTCACGAATGGATTAGTATTTTCCGTAATGTCCTTCGTTTTCTCACGGATTGACACGAGGAGAAAATAATTAATCACCTGGTTTGTAAGCGTATTCTTGCAATACAAATGTATTAATGTGGTTGAAATATGTGTAGTGAACATACCGTTACTGAAATATCTCTCCAGAAAATGGCAACCTACCTGTAGTTTGAGGGTATTATAAGAGAGTGTGTCTGTTAATTCCCCCATTCTTCATTGAATCCAGACCTTCTTGCTGTAGATCGAGCGCATTAGCATGCCCTGTATTTCGTGAGTGAGTAAGTTGGGTTTGGCACCGCTTTAACAGCATTCCAGTTATATCATGGCGTGCCAGCTTAATGTGGGAGGAAAGCCCGAAGTGATGCAGGTCTCAGACGTTTGCCACTTCGGTGAAACCCACGAGCAAGGGTATAATAATAATAATTATAATAATAATAATAACATTTTTTAATTTTCAAAAACCTTTACCACGTTTTAAATCTGATATTTTTATTGTGATCATTATTAGAGAATGGTCCGATTTGAAACTTGGTATAATTTCGGTTTTTACAAAAGAGGTTATGATATTATATTTCTCATTATAGCCCTGTTTTTGTTTACCTTCGTCACATTATTTACATCTTGATCCTGTTTGCAATATTTGTTATACGATTCTTCCGGCACGTGGTATAAAACCTTACGCGGGACGGATTAAACCCCCTGTACCCCTTGTTATCTTGCTACAAATTATAGTGTAGAGAACAGCCTCTTTTCATATATCTAGAGGATGTCTTTTAATTATGTGCGGAAATCTTGGAAACCCTTATAAGAAACAATACAAACTTAAAGGCAACACTGATTATTTGCTGTCACAATTTGCTGATGATACTACATGCGTGTCAGATGGTATAGAACTATGTTTGTGTGCGACTATGCAGGTACTTACACCCAAGTTGTCATCACCTCTCCGTAAAGCCGTTAACTGAGCAAATCTTGTAAAGAGCAAAAGATAGAAAATTAAAATACAAAGAAACGAAAATTATCTTCTGTCAGATCGAAGAGGAAATAGTGCAGTAGTATGCCTCTATGTTTCGATGAGAATGTAAATGCATTGTATAGGTCTTATGTGATTCCCAACAATCGTAGAGAATATGTAAATATGATAAAATAAAAAGTCTCAAATGCCCCCTCTAGGACACCTAGGATTGTCGCCACATTAACACAGTCATGTTTGACGACACACAAGGGCAGGTGCGTTTGACGACACACTAGGACAGTTATGTTTGATGACCCCCTAGGACAGTTGGGTATGACGACTCACTACGGGACAGTTGGGTTTGACGACACACAAGGACAGTTGGGTATGGCGACACACTAGGACAGTTGGGTATGACGACATACTAGGACATTTGGGTATGAAGACTCACTACGGGACAGTTGGGTTTGACGACACACAAGGACAGTTGGGTATGGCGACACACTAGGACAGTTGGGTATGACGACACACTAGGACAGTTGGGTTTGACGACATACTAGGACATTTGGGTATGACGACTCACTACGGGACAGTTGGGTTTGACGACACACAAGGACAGTTGGGTATGGCGACACACTAGGACAGTTGGGTATGACGACACACTAGGACAGTTGGGTTTGACGACACACAAGGACAGTTGGGTATGGCGACACACTAGGACAGTTGGGTTTGACGACATACTAGGACATTTGGGTATGACGACTCACTACGGGACAGTTGGGTTTGACGACACACAAGGACAGTTGGGTATGGCGACACACTAGGACAGTTGGGTATGACGACACACTAGGACAGTTGGGTTTGACGACACACAAGGACAGTTGGGTATGGCGACACACTAGGACAGTTTTGGTATGACGACATACTAGGACATTTGGGTATGACGACTCACTACGGGACAGTTGGGTTTGACGACACACAAGGACAGTTGGGTTTGACGACACACTAGGACAGTTGGGTATGACGACATACTAGGACATTTGGGTATGACGACTCACTACGGGACAGTTGGGTTTGACGACACACAAGGACAGTTGGGTATGGCGACACACTAGGACAGTTGGGTATGACGACATACTAGGACATTTGGGTATGACGTCTCACTACGGGACAGTTGGGTTTGACGACACATAAGGACAGTTGGGTTTGACGACACACTAGGACAGTTGGGTATGACGACTCACTATGGGACAGTTGGGTATGACGGCTAAATATCCAACAAGAATCATATGATATTTTGTAATACATATACGTCGCTGTGTTTGTACTATGCACCAGTCTGAAACCACACTGTAACAATTATGTGGGAAATTGGGCTTCATACATTTGACGTACTGCTAAATTCTCTCCAAGATGATTTTCTCCAACAGTTTATACCCACCATGGACACCAAGGTGATACCTCTGCATAGGGGCCTTACCCGGCAAAATAAACCTGTGAGCTCATCAATGCTGTAATAGTTGGACATAGCCAGGCTTTTACTATGTTGCCGATAAAAGATTTTTTTCAAGGACCATTGTAATGATTTGCAAATGAGATCAGATCAAACGCGAGTACCAGATGTATCACGTAGATAAACCTATATGCTAATAGTTCTCAAAACTAGGCAAGCGCCAGTATTTCCAAATTATAATTGTCAAAACAATGACCTCCCGACGTCGCACCATATAGAACACCGAAGTAGTAGACAAACAACAAAAAGGCGAACCAAACACAAGCAGGTTCTAACAACAATGTTTTGAAGAAATTGAAACAAGTCACGTTCACGTTCTCTGACAAATTGCAAGCCAAAGCAAGGTTTTGAAAAACAAATAAGAAGCTTAAGACTACCTCATCCAATGAGTCTCGTCAAGACGTGATAGATTAATGATTTGTTGGTTTTCGGACTGGTCTTACTTTATGTAATATTTGTCAAATTTTTCAAACACACAATCACATTCATATTACACATATACATACACGTACACCCAATGGAGAATCCAAAATATTCGATTAACAGCCATTTCTCGAAATGATCAGTTAGTTCCCTTTGGTGTAAATCCATTTCTTTGTAACATTCCAGTTATAAAATTACTTCAGTGGTTTGCTCCAATGTCCAATCTTTTTTTTAAAAATGGGGCGTTTTGACCAAAGTGCATGTTTCATTTTGGAACTGGTCCGTTTTGGCTGGTTTTGAGATTATTTTACCCGTGGACATCCAGTGTGTGTAACATTGATATGCAATCGATATACATCAAAGCATCGTAGAAAATGCCTATGATCAAGAGCGAGGGTAATATATATAGCGAGCAAAATTGTTCAGCTTTCCAAATGTCTGAGGGAAATCCCGGAAGTCGGTCGGGGAAACCCCAGTGACGTCACACCGAATCTCCTGTCGCCATGTTATTAGACGCAGAGTTTGTTGTCATTTTGTGACAGTTTCAGTTTTTACTTGGCTTCTGGTTTTAATATCCTAAACATGTCACTTGAAGATCCATTTTTCGTCGTACGAGGGTAAGCCAGCATTAAGTATGATCTTGATTTTCAGAAATATATGATTCATTGAATCTGTTTTGTGCCGCCACATCAACTCAAGCATGGTCCCAAACATGAAAATCTGTTAGCAGATTGGAAGCACTTGCAACATAATTTTACATATTCCAAGTTTATGTTCATTTTACATGTTCCAAGTTATGTTCATACGATATATTTGCCATTATTGCCTGTGAAGGTTTTGCCGACGCACCTTTAGATCTTCTCATGCCAATCCACAAGGTAAAACGCCCAGACCCTCTATGTCGCTTCCAGTTGGATCAACACATGGCATGTGCAGATTGATCTAACTAGTACCATCATCTTTTTAACAGATAATGACGAGGCAGCAAACATAAATATTCACAAAAATGTTATCCTACTTTGTAAACCTGTGACACTGAGGATGTTGACCATACACCAGTGTAGCCTACATGTGATCATGTGTAGCTGACCAACTCCAGCATGGTTCATGTGCTGGATTCGTTTGACAAACCTGTGGAACATGCATTCCAAGTTGATTATTGGACTTACCATTGATTAAACATTTTAAAAATATTTTTTTACTTTCCTTCTTTATTCATCTCAGCAGGTACATATGTATACCATGGTATACATGTCATGTCAATAGAATTGTGGTACATTATATTCAAGAAGCATACAGCTATTCATATATATAAATTCTTGCCTATAAAGTCAACATGCTTTATTATCAGTATTTATTACAGATTGGTTTTTAAACAAAGTGTGGAAGGAAGATCAGAAACTAAACAAGTTTGCATAGCTACTATTTGTAAATGACATTATCTTTGTAATAACTAATTATCTCATGCTGTATGTGTTCAGAACGTGGCATTAATCTTTTCCTACATAGTCTGTATATTACTTGTTTTGTTATTAAAAGTACAATATTCAATGGGTTGTTGTGTTTGTCTTGAAATCCAAACAAAACATTTTCTCTGTTCAAATCAATGGTTCCTTCCACAACGGTTTTTATCCAAATGTACAGTTTCTCCCAAATCTTTCTTACATATTCACACTCATATAACGTATGGATTATAGTTTCAGGTTGATTTGTATAGAAAGTACACAAAGGAGAGTCAACATATCCAATTGATATAAATATTTGTTTGTTGTAAGAATGTAATGAATAATCTTTAACTGAAACTATCTAATATCTTCACTTTGAGTGCATCTTTTTGCCATCAATATATGTTCTTGCCAATCTGTTTCACAAGATGTCTTATTTAGTATACTTTCCCATTTTTCAGTGCCATGAAATTTAACAAACTCAGATGCTGTTTATCTTGTAAAATTTTTATACTACCCATATCTGTATATATTGGTTTAGCATGTTAGCAGATGTGATATATTGAATGGCATGGTTGGTTGAGTAGATATTGAATTGAAAACATTGTGTTCCTTTACCTAACAAATTTTTTTAACTGCATAAAATACATCATTTATCATCATCATGATCATATTCTATATAATTTGTTTCAATTCCATACATATGCACAAAAGCATCAAATGTATACAGTTACCTTTTCTCATCCACTAATAAACATGGTAAATATCAAAATATAAGATATGAAAACTATGCGAAAGGATTAAGAAACATCCTATTTATCATATACTAGATTCCATATGATGTATTAGAGCCGATCTGGGCCTATGTGTTATCAGGGTTTTTCTTGTTAAAACATTATAGAAATCATAGTTGATGTTTATGCATTGTTAAGTAATGACGTAATGAAAAGGCAATTTGAGAAATGTAGATGAAAGTACTGCTACAGTGGTGCGTCATGTGTTGTCAGTGAGGTGCAGAAGGCGCTGCAGACAGCTGGTGGACTGTACACGCGCTGGAGGGAGCTGCACTCACAGACAGGAGGGGGGTCAAAAGAAGAGTTGGAATGGACCACAAATGAATTACGGAACAGTTTGAGAAGTATAGAATGGGACTTGGAAGATCTAGAAGAAACTGTTGGTATCCTATGTGTTAAACATGTTACAGCAGTCCTGTGACACTTAAGTTAGATTTTGCAGATAATGAACTATAGCCAATAATTAAGATAATAGTGGTCTTTAAGCTTAAGTTAACTTTCTTAGCTGGGAACCATTTTCTTCACTTTTAAGGTTTTAGCTCATGGTAAACCCATCAGCAAAAGATGTTTGTTTTCTTTATTTTTGTCAAGAAGATGTGGATTGGTATTAGTGACCGGCACTGTAAAAACACACAGTAAACTCTTGGAGGTGTTCCTTAATCTCAACACAGGTATTGTTGAAAAAAATCCAAAGAAATTCAAAATTGATGAATTTGAGCTGAAAGAACGACGCAGTTTCATTGACAAGACCAAATGGACAGTGAAGGTGAGTCAGGTTTGTGGCTGTCATTCTAAAGCTTGGCATTGCCACATCAGTGTAATTATAACTACATCAGGCAGCTGACTGCATGGTTTCTAATACAAAAGAATTTCATTTCATTAAAATTCTGGAACATTTACTTGCTTGGTATATTTATATGAGAAATGAGCAGTGTGCATACAGAAAAAGGTCCATCCACTGGTGCCACATTCATACCCCTGATAGAGAACAAGGTCCATCCACTGGTGCCACATTCATTACCCTCATACAGAGCAAGATCCATGCACTGCTGCCACATTCATAACCCTCATACAGAAAAAGGCCCATCCACTGGTGCCACATTCATACCCCTGATAGAGAACAAGGTCCATCCACTGGTGCCACATTCATTACCGTGATAGAGAACAAGGTCCATCCACTGGTGCCACATTCATTATCCTCATACAGAACAAGGTCCATCCACTGGTGCCACATTCATTACCCTGATAGAGAGCAAGGCCCATCCACTGGTGCCACATTTATAACCCTGATACAGAAAAAGGCCCATCCACTGGTGCCACATTCATTAGCCTCATATAGAACAAGGTCCATCCACTGGTGCCACATTCATTACCCTCATAGAGAGGAAGGCCCATCCACTGGTGCCACATTCATTAACCTCATACAGAGCATGGTCCATCCACTGGTGCCACATTCATTAGCTTCATATAGAACAAGGTCCATCCACTGGTGCCACATTCATTACCCTCATAGAGAACAAGGCCCATCCACTGGTGCCACATTCATTAACCTCATACAGAGCATGGTCCATCCACTGGTGCCACATTCATAAGTCTCATACAGAACAAGGTCCATCCACTTTTGCCACATTCATTAGCCTCATACAGACAAAAAAGGTCCATCCACTGGTGCCACATTCATTAGCCTCATACAGATCAAGGTCCATCCACTGGTGCCACATGCATTGCCCTCATAGAGAGCAAGGCCCATCCACTGGTGCCACATTCAGTACCCTCATACAGAGCAAGGTCCATCCACTGGTGCCACATTCATAACCCTCATACAGAAAGAGGCCCATCCACTGGTGCCACATTCATACCCCTCATACAGAAAAAGGTCCATCCACGGGTGCCACATTCATTAACCTCATATAGAACAAGGTCCATCCACTGGTGCCACATTCATTACCCTGATACAGAGCAAGGCCCATCCACTGGTGCCACATTCATTACCCTCATACAGAGCAAGGTCCATCCACTGGTGCCACATTCATTACCCTCATACAGAGCATGGTCCATCCACTGGTGCCACATTCATTAGCCTCATACAGAACAAGGTCCATCCACTGGTGCCACATTCATTACCCTGATGCAGAGCAAGATCCATCCACTGGTGCCACATTCATTAGCCTCATACAGAGCATGGTCCATCCACTGGTGCCACATTCATTACCGTGATAGAGAACAAGGTCCATCCACTGGTGCCATATTCATTACCCTGATAGAGAACAAGGTCCATCCACTGGTGCCACATTCATTACCTTGATAGACATCAAGGTCCATCCACTGGTGCCACATTCATTACCCTGATACAGAGCAAGATCCATCCACTTTTGCCACATTCATAACCCTCATACAGAAAAAGGCCCGTCTACTGGTGCCACATTCATTACCCTGATACAGAGCAAGGCCCATCCACTGGTGCCACATTCATTACCCTGATAGAGAACAAGGTCCATCCACTGGTGCCACATTCATTACCCTGATACAGAGCAAGATCCATCCACTGGTGCCACATTCATAACCCTCATACAGAAAAAGGCCCATCCACTGGTGCCACATTCATTACCCTCATACAGAACAAGGTCCATCCACTGGTGCCACATTCATTACCCTGATACAGAGCAAGGCCCATCCACTGGTGCCACATTCATTACCCTCATACAGAGCATGGTCCATCCACTGGTGCCACATTCATTAGCCTCATATAGAACAAGGTCCATCCACTTGTGCCACATTCATTACCCTCATAGAGAACAAGGCCCATCCACTGGTGCCACATTCATTAACCTCATACAGAGCATGATCCATCCACTGGTGCCACATTCATTAGTCTCATACAGAACAAGGTCCATCCACTGGTGCCACATTCATTAGCCTCATACAGACATAAAAGGTCCATCCACTGGTGCCACATTCATTAGCCTCATACAGATCAAGGTCCATCCACTGGTGCCACATTCATTACCCACATACAGAGCAAGGTCCATCCACTGGTGCCACATTCATACCCCTCATACAGAAAAAGGTCCATCCACTGGTGCCACATTCATTAGCCTCATACAGATCAAGGTCCATCCACTGGTGCCACATTCATTGCCCTCATAGAGAGCAAGGCCCATCCATTGGTGCCACATTCATTACCCACATACAGAGCAAGGTCCATCCACTGGTGCCACATTCATTACCCTCATACAGAGCAAGATCCATCCACTGGTGCCACATTCATAACCCTCATACAGAAAAAGGCCCATCTACTGGTGCCACATTCATTACCGTGATAGAGAACAAGGTCCATCCACTGGTGCCACATTCATTACCCTCATACAGAGCAAGATCCATCCACTGGTTCCACATTCATAACCCTCATACAGAAAAAGGCCCATCTACAGGGGGCCACATTCATTACCCTCATAGAGAACAAGGTCCATCAACTGGTGCCACATTCATTACCGTGATAGAGAACAAGGTCCATCCACTGGTGCCACATTCATTACCCTCATACAGAGCAAGATCCATCCACTGGTGCCACATTCATAACCCTCATACAGAAAAAGGCCCATCTACTGGTGCCACATTCATTACCCTGATAGAGAACAAGGTCCATCCACTGGTGCCACATTCATTACCCTCATAGAGAACAAGGTCCATCAACTGGTGCCACATTCATTACCGTGATACAGAGCAAGGCCCATCCACTGGTGCCACATTCATTACCCTGATAGAGAACAAGGTCCATCCACTGGTGCCACATTCATTAGCCTCATATAGAACAAGGTCCATCCACTGGTGCCACATTCATTACTCTCATACAGAGCAAGGTCCATCCACTGGTGCCACATTCATTACCCTCATACAGAGCATGGTCCATCCACTGGTGCCACATTCATAAGCCTCATACAGAACAAGGTCCATCCACTGGTGCCACATTCATTACCCTGATGCAGAGCAAGATCCATCCACTGGTGCCACATTCATTAGCCTCATACAGAGCATGGTCCATCCACTGGTGCCACATTCATTAGCCTCATACAGAAAAAAGGCCCATCCACTGGTGCCACATTCATAACCCTCATACAGAACAAGGTCCATCCACTGGTGCCACATTCATTACCCTCAAAGAGAACAAGGTCCATCCACTGGTGCCACATTCATTACCGTGATAGAGAACAAGGTCCATCCACTGGGGCCATATTCATTACCCTGATAGAGAACAAGGTCCATCCACTCATGCCACATTCATTACCCTGATACAGAGCAAGGCCCATCCACTGGTGCCACATTCATTACCCTGATAGAGAACAAGGTCCATCCACTGGTGCCACATTCATTACCCTGATACAGAGCAAGATCCATCCACTGGTGCCACATTCATAACCCTGATACAGAGCAAGGCCCATCCACTGGTGCCACATTCATTACCCTGATACAGAGCAAGATCCATCCACTGGTGCCACATTCATTACCCTCATACAGAGCATGGTCCATCCACTGGTGCCACATTCATTAGCCTCATACAGAACAAGGTCCATCCACTGGTGCCACATTCATTACCCTGATGCAGAGCAAGATCCATCCACTGGTGCCACATTCATTAGCCTCATACAGAGCATGGTCCATCCACTGGTGCCACATTCATTAGCCTCATACAGAAAAAAAGGCCCATCCACTGGTGCCACATTCATAACCCTCATACAGAACAAGGTCCATCCACTGGTGCCACATTCATTACCCTGATACAGAGCAAGATCCATCCACTGGTGCCACATTCATAACCCTCATACAGAAAAAGGCCCATCCACTGGTGCCACATTCATTAGCCTCATATAGAAGAAGGTCCATCCACTGGTGCCACATTCATTACCCTCATAGAGAGGAAGGCCCATCCACTGGTGCCACATTCATTACCCTCATACAGAGCATGGCCAATCCACTGGTGCCACATTCATTACCCCAATACAGGGCAAGATCCATCCACTGGTGCCACATTCATAACCCTCATACAGAAAAAAAGGCCCATCCACTTTTGCTCCATTCATAACCCTCATACAGAACAAGGTCCATCCACTGGTGCCACATTCATTGCCCTCATAGAGAGCAAGGCCCATCCACTGGTGCCACATTCATTACCCAGATAAAGAGGAAGCCTCATCCACTGGTGCCACATTCATTAGCCTCATACAGAGCAAGGCCCATCCACTGGTGCCACATTCATTACCCTCATACAGAACGAGGTCCATCCACTGGTGCCACATTCATTACCCTCATACAGAACAAGGTCCATCCGCTGGGGCCACATTCATTACCCTCATACAGAGCAAGATCCATCCACTGGTGCCACATTCATAACCCTCATACAGAAAAAGGCCCATCTACTGGTGCCACATTCATTACCGTGATAGAGAACAAGGTCCATCCACTGGTGCCACATTCATTACCCTCATACAGAGCAAGATCCATCCACTGGTTCCACATTCATAACCCTCATACAGAAAAAGGCCCATCTACAGGGGGCCACATTCATTACCCTCATAGAGAACAAGGTCCATCAACTGGTGCCACATTCATTACCGTGATAGAGAACAAGGTCCATCCACTGGTGCCACATTCATTACCCTCATACAGAGCAAGATCCATCCACTGGTGCCACATTCATAACCCTCATACAGAAAAAGGCCCATCTACTGGTGCCACATTCATTACCCTGATAGAGAACAAGGTCCATCC